AAATTGAATCAGCTAAAGTGTCAATTATATGATCATTTTAACAAACGTACAGGTATGTGGCATCATTACATCTATAACACACATAATGGCAACCTTGTACATCCTGATACCACTGTATCCATATTTGCATGCTAAATTCCATCAAACCACTCTTTCTGATAATGTCAACACTCAGTTACTTATATTCAGAGGAAATTAAATAGAGTGATGGACAATTTTACAATAAAAGCTACATATAAAAAGCTTCATTATATGATATAACTCTAGTCATCATGACTCTTTGATTCCTTCAAACTGTCTATCCTTCTCTCTTGCACTGAACAGATAATTCCACAATAGCTCCATCGATAAAGTAGACTCTCTTGGTGCTCGGAGCTGATGCTGTAAATCGCTGAAAAGATCCAGTCATTACGGACAAGGATTATGGCAGAACACTGGGCCTTGTTCTTTCAATGATTAGCTGAGGGAAAAGCTATGGATTTCAGTTTGATCTGGAGCCCTCAAAATGCAATCTTTATTATCCCAATGACTGTTGTATTTAGTAGCAGGTGTTTTGGCTTTAATTGGTGTGCATTGTGGGTGTTTAAAAAAAAATTGTTACTGCATGACTGTCTGTGGGAGTATGTTCTACATAATGAACAATGTGGTTCCATCTGTCATAACGAGTGCTTTGTAAAATCATAACTAATAGAACCACATCCACACCAAGGACACTGTAACTGATTAAACTTAAGTAACCTTCATTCAAACATTCCACATGGATTATAGAAATCATTGCAAATAGTTCAGCACAACTAGGGCAACTTTTTAGCATTTTGCTTTCCTTTGAAGATTCATATTGGGAGCTGTGACAGAAAGCAACATTATGTAGTATTTTTATCTTAAAATAACAGCTTCTAAATCATTTTGATGGTACAATGACTTGTAGTAGGGAGAGTGAGGTCACTTTCATTGCCACTCCATGCCAGGGTGCCTACCATATATGTACCATATAGTCTGCCATTTATTGGCATCATTTTCAATATGATTGTTATGATTATTATTATTTTAGGGCCATTACCATCAGTATGATTGAGGTTAAATAGCATTATATCAAATCCATTCGCATTCTTTCCAATATAATTAAGATCAGCTTTCAATATATGCATGTGACTAAAGTTATAAAAAATGATCTTTAGTTGGCTTTAAACTCAGAAACAGTTTTTAGTGGTAACCTTATTAATGCTTACAACCCATAGCTCTAACATGAAAAGTTTTAATGTTGATCATATATGTATCTGACACACTGAAAGCAGCTGTTGGGTTTTGTCCAAATTCTTGAGGTCTTGTTTCAGAACTTCAGAAAATGTTAAGCTTGCAATATTGATTTGATATTTCGCTGTTGCAGAATTGGCCTTACTCAGCTACAGTTGATGCAGTTAGCTGCAGGTAAAGCTTGACATTTTAACCACCAAAAGTAACGTCTCAAAATCTGATGCCTGCTACCTAAATATTTTCTAGATTTCTTATCGTCGGAGCTTGACAAGTCAATGAATTTTGCCCTCCACTGGATTCAAAATGGAACAGCTATCGGAAACCACCCCTATCCGTATTGACAACCAAACTGGTGTTGATGTATAAAATCGAAGTTACCCTTTTAAGTGATGTTGAGACATGAATCTCTGACTACTCATGGCATTACTAACTTTTCAGGCACGAGGAAACTGCATCATTTGAACAAGCTGATCGGAGTGTCTAGGGAGAGGGAAAAGGTGGGTCAAGTAGAGTGGAGTTTTGAAAAATAAATTACTTTTAAAACCAAACAACTTTTGGTAGTGGAAAAAAATCAATAATGTTTAACACACATGCAGTTTCAGTGGTCAGAAAGCCAGTTGTTTTTTAATATATATAATAATATCTATAATAGAATATGTGCCATGGCTGCCTAACAAACTGACTTAATTTCACTGCACATTTGTGAGATCATAGTGATTCAACTTCTTTCTCCATGGCTGAGGCTTTTTTTTGTGATTCCTATTTTTTTCCTTATGTCAGAACTTAATTGAGCTCTCCATCCACCTTACTTTGCATCTGTTTTGAATAGGGGTGGGGGGAAATCCATCAGTAGGATGCAAGCCCTAAAAGAAAACGTACAATATGTGACTGTGTGTGTGTTGCTCAACAATGAATGAATCACACTCCAATCTGGTGTGTGAATGCCGTGAACTACTCATAATTTTTTTTATGGCCGCAGTGGATGAAGTGGCTTGGCACTGCGGGGCTTACATGAAGTCAGTGTGAATAATGACTAATACAAATGTCACCATATGGCATGCACTAACACACACAACCACGCCACAGACACACACAAACACACCCCATTTATGTGCTTTCACGATGGATGTCCTTTTCATACTTAAAAAATGAACAGTAAACCAATTAATGATTTTTCATTTCTGACAAATCTACTATTATATTCTCAATTAATCATTTGGTTTACAGGATGTCAGCAAATAGTGAAAAAAAATGTTTTGTTTTGTCAGACCAACAGTCCAAAACAAAGACTTTTAGATGGATTCTTGTCTGTCTGGAGCATTATTTTCATAAATGTTTTTTTTTTAAACAAAAACTATTTACCAGGACCAGGGACCAGTGAATATGAACTATTTTTGCCCAAACAAACTTACAAAAAAATGATGAAGCAATTACTAAAATAGTTGCAGATTAATTTTCTGTTGATGAACTAATCGATTAACCAACTAATTGTTTCAGCTCTGGATTCCTTCACAGCCCAGAAAAGGCCATTACTACTCCCGCAGTTACAGCCTAAAATTTCTCACAATTAGCTGATGATGGAAATAGTAAAGATAAATGGAAAAAAACATAAAAACAACATTTTTACTTTTGTCAGTACAGCAACACATAAAAGCTTCAAACAAAGAAGCAAAGATCCTCAAAAAGGACTAAGGTTTTGTGTAATGTGGTCATGCAAAAATATCAAAATGAAAATATGGTGAGGCAGAGGCTGCCGTTTTTTTAGATCAAGATCATCTATTGCTTCTGGTACTTTTTCCTCATGATTTGACAATCATAACTTAATGTTTTAAAAATACTTTGAATGGCTTAAAATGCTCTAAAGTATCCTGACAGAAACTGGACATCAATCTGTAAATTGTTTCAAGAACGAGGCTCTACACAAAGAGAACACCAGCCGAGAAATGTGCACACCAATATGCTGCTAGTCACACTGAAAATTCACAACATGTTCATCTCCATGTGAACTCTCTGAAACATGTATCTGCTACTCTTATTTAGGTCATCACCCTTGCGCGGGTAGAGATTCTAATGCTCACCATCGTGCATGGCAGAACAGACTATCCGTGCACACTTATGGATTGAGAAACGTGCCTAGTAGTGCATACATTCAATCTCACTGCACTGAAAATAGCTATCATAATGGATATATTCACTGAAGTGAAAATTCATGGCCACGATAAGCCGCAGCACCATATATCTTCTCAGAGTTTTCAAGGCATGAAAGGGTGAACAGAGAAGCAAGAGCAAACAGGGACTCACAATCTATCTGATAAAAACAGCTCTTTAGGTTTTTCCTCAGTTGATCAACTCAAAAAAAGAGAAATATCACCCATACTTGTCATGTCATATCTCATCACCCACACACACACACAAACACACACACACACATTACAACTCTCACATTGAATTTCATTTAATGCACAGTATTAGGGGTCTTTTTCACATTATATTTTTTTATGTGTTATCCAAGGAAGGTTAAAATCAAGGCCAACTTGACTTGGTTGAAGATACTCAAAGATGTTTCAGTGAGAATGCCAACAATGGTCGGTCAGATTTGGCCTTGGGTGTCTCCAACGAACATAACCACATCATCATTTTAACAGCCAGGAGCACTAACAAACCAGCGGTATCGATCAGCTTGACCCCACAGAGGTTAAATAGCTGAGTTTCCTTACCAGTCACTCAGAGCTGAGGAAGTCTCTCGGATGAGAGACGAAACATCTTCGAGTTTCTTTAACCAAGTCCAGTTGCCCTTGATTTTAACCTTCTTTTACCTGGATGACTGAGAACTTTCACAGGCATCTACGTGTTTTCTTAATTGATGTTTTATAAGTTAACATTTACATTCAGCCATTGTTATTATTGTTCTTACCAATTAATTTATTTCATATGATGACTACTAACTGCAATTGAACATTTGCACGTCCATGTTTACTTGCAATGTCTAGCCATGTTGATTTGGTTTTATGTGAAGAGGTTTGGAGATATTGCGGTTTGGGATATTTTGTCTACCACCCACTGAAACAAAGGTGTGCTACTCAAAGCATTACAAATTTACATTTAGAAAATGTACCAACATTAACGTGTCTAAAATACAACAACATTGTTCAACATTGATCGTTGTGAAAATTTCTTCAAATAAAAACCCTTGTGTGGTGTTGGTGCATAAACCGGCTGAAGGAAAACAATTCATCGACTACAAATAAGCCCTCTGCAGTTTTCAGATACTGACTTTTCCCAAACAACATTTTGCACAGTACAGTATCCTGCTTGAATGGTAAATCCTGCTGTGTTTATAATCTCTGTTGATCTCAATAAAAGGGCAGCCAAAATTCATCTCAACCAAACAATCCTCTGGGTGTTTTGTCCAGATAAAACAAGAATCAAGGTACTTCAGGCAGTAATGAAAGATTTTGTGCTTTTTGTTTCTACAAATGAAATGCAATAGCTTAATTCCAATACCCTCTCCTGTGGACCCTCTCAGGAGAATTTTTGTTGGCTATACATGCCAATGGCTATCAATAATTATATCCGGAGTCATTTGTGTGGAGAAATGATCCCACTTGGCAGAGCGGGCAGGAGGTGAGGAAGAGGTTTGCTGATATAGCACCTGACAGAAAGTTTACCACCCTGCATCACTGTAGAGACAGAGGCACGAATACAGATAAGTTATGCATGTACAGACACACAACACACAAAGCAGACAGGATCGACAAGATTGAATCTGTTTATTAAGTTTGAATATTCTGATTTTGCAGAGGATCCTAATCCAAGGGTGGGAAACTAGAGTCGTAAAAGAAATCTCAGGGGTCAAGAGATAATTAACAGGATGAGAAAGAAGGAAACAACATGTCGCAGATAATTTTTGGTCCCTAATGTCAGAAAGTTTTGTTATAATAATAACAATTAAATAAATAATTTTTAGTATTAGTTAATACTCTTAGATTAAACTGTTCAAAACTCTTGACTCTCTTAAGTTACTATTTAAGAAGTAAAACTCAAAGATAAACAAAGAACTAAAACTAACAAGGTTATTTATCTAAATGCAGTGGGTTTTTTGACAAATAATTAATTAATTAAAACAAGAAAAACATATTGACACATAAAATTATGCACAGTGTCCCTGTATAACTCCACAAACACACACACACACTACAGACGCCCATAGACATATGCACCCACATTAACACAGTAACCCTGTGTGTCTCCCAAAGTCCAAACAAGCACTCATACAGAGTGTGTGACTTCTGTGTGACTGCACAATTACAAAGACACACACACACACACACACTCATGCGTACAAAGTACCCCCATGCCACTGAAGGAGGGGACAGCACTCCAGGCCAAACTCTTCCACTAGTTGTGCTGATGTGGAGAGTTATTGGAGAAACATCTTGTACAGATCCAGACCTCGGGGCAGCACCACGACACATTCCACCTGACCGGGTTTCACCTTAGCTCCGCATTTTGTCTTGGATTCCCCGCCCCCTCCTGCCTTCTTTTCATCACAAGTAATTGACGTTTTAGCCTTGAAGCATTGTACCCGGGGACCTGGAATGCGCGCACACACACACACACACACACACACACACAATTTGGCTTCAGGTTAAAACATTTCCCACCTTTCAGCTTTTTTTCTTTTGCATTAGAGACTTACCCGTAACTTGGCTCAATTTTTTCCAGTATACTGAGCTTTCACCAATGTGGAAAAACTTTTTATATCTAACTTTTTAAAATCCAATTCTCAGAAACTGGAGAGAAACTAAGCGTGTCTGTGCCAATACATCATGTTTGTACTAGATGTTGATCCTGTAAAAACAAGCCTCTGACTCAAACGATCTGTAATGGCTTCATTGTTAGTTTGCCCAAAAGATGCTGTATATTTATGCAGCTAATTATGGCTTCAACAACATGGTTATGATCTCCTCTAAATCTGTACTCATACTTGTCTTAGAGTCCCAGAAAGACACGTTAGAATGCAGTAATGAAGCTTTTTATGTGTAAACTATACTTATTTTATCCCGTGGCCATATTTCAATCTTGTCTTGGACATTGCTCTGATGCTGAAGTCTCTTCACATTGTCCTGGGTACTTCTGTCAATGCCACACTCTCCACAGAGCCCAGTCTGCGTAGTGCCATCGGCTCTCAGACCCAAGTGCCCGCATTAACACTGACTTGGGAGACTTCATACTTCCTTTTGTAGCAACTCTCAAGACATCTTTTTACTGAACCATGACGAAAATCATCCCCTTAAACAGGATTGTGAGGCTGCTGCAGTGATTTTATTTATTATTCTATTCCCTAGCTGGTGTGGCATTATGGTGGAGTAGAGGGGGAGATGGAGCTGACAGAGAAGGAGATTTGGTAGTTGTCGATTCTGAGACACTTAACCCTCCCCAAGCATGTCTGTTTTTATCTCATTCTCACATGCTTCTGTGCATGTAAAGACAGTGAAACACAAAGCAATCTACGTGCAATCACTGCATCCACATATATGACAGCAAACATACCTCAATTAAAGCGCAAAAAGTGTACGTGTTTGTGTGCATAGATAAACATTGATGTGTGCATGTGAACAATATGCCAGTATCCACACACAATACATTTGTGTTTTTGTATAGAATCAATGGGTTTTTCTGACCACCAGACAGTAGTTTTTTGTTTTCAAGTGACAAAGCCCTCTAGTGGCTGGATTCTTGTCTGTCTGGAGCAAAGGAGGAAGTAGTGTGAGCAGAGGCACAAAGGTCAAGTGATTGAATGGGTCAATAAAGCATCAGACTTCATTTCCTGTTTCCTACCAAAAGTCATTATAGGTTTCTTTACAACTAGACCGCGGCCATTTCCTAACCAAATGGTTATTTTTGTAACCATGACAATCATGGTTCACTAACCTTAACAAAGTTATTTTGTTTAGTGTTTCCGTAACCTTAACCTAGTGTATGTGATGTTTGGGAAGGTGTGGACCACCGTTGTACTTGTTGATTAATTCGTAGGAATTTCTGCAAAAATGACAGCAAGAAGCAAAGCCCACCTGTGTCTTGGAAAAATGTCTTTACAGCAGAAAACCATATCAAGTATATCCCTTGAATGAATATATATTGAAGAGCTTTCAAGTAACTATTAGCTACATACATAGCATGAACACTGTGGTGTTTTGTCTGTGTCAAGTCTGCTCCAAGTCTGAGTTCCCAGCCACTGGTCCAGAAATTGCTTGTTTGAAAGATCAGAGATATGATTAACAGTATGTTTGTTGATTCACTTCTGACAATATCAAAGGAAGGACAAGCTTCTGAAGCTGCTGCAGCAGCAAGGTGAAGGATTATTTGACTTTATTTTATCTTTATTAAATTTATTCTATTTTACTAATTTTATATTTATCTTAAACGTGTATTTTAGTCTTTTCAATGTTTTCATGCTTTTATCTTATATTGTTTTTGTATTATTGTCTTTTGGGTATTATTGTCTTTACACTTGTTAAAGCACTTTGTAACTTGTTTTTGAAAAGTGCTCTACAAATAAAGATTATTATTATTAATATAATAATATAATAATAATATGAGAGACTCTTTTAATTGGTTACTACTGTGGACAAACACAAAGGGGAGAGGTTAAATGCACACAAGCATACACACTTTTAAGCTGCATATACCTACTGTAAGCCAACCCTAACTAAATATAACATCTGTATACTACTAAATAGTAAAAAGTAATGTTAAATATTGAAAAAAGTAAAAATGCATTGGCAGGTATGTTTAGTATGAGCATTTTGTGACTTTGCAAATACATATATAGAGCCAGGGGCTGATGAAGCGCCTAAATGATCCTTTTCAAGTATCCAAACCAGAGTTCTGCTTAAAAAATATAAAAAGAAGCTATCACATATTATAATTTTACTATTTAGTACCAAAGTCAGCAAACTAAGTGAGAGGATGTGGAGGAGAAATCCGGATTCTATACGCCTGCCCAAAGTATAGCAGTAGCAGCTATACTGTAATATATTCCCTGATTGAAGGCCGATTTATCATTGAAGGACAGGCGCACAGCTGTCCGCTGTCACAAGTAAATAGACAGACTACATAACTGCCAGAATCCTACTGGTGATGCTCATCAAGATGAATGATGCTAAGTGAACATTTTGAGTCTGCAGAGCAACACACACACACACAGTCACACGTTAGATCCAACACAGGCTACACCGCAGCGCTAATGGGTACATAAAAGTTTGTGTAAATAAGTCATGGTGTTAGCGGGAGTGGAGCTAAAGCTCAAGCTCAAAATCTCTCTCTACCCCCCTTTCTCTCTCTCTCCCTCCAGGGCTAGCTTAATGGCATGCCGCTCCAGTTCTCAACATACAGGCTGAGACAACAGTGGGCACCACATCAGTAACTAACTCTTTTCATGTCTGTCAATAAAGAGGCCTGACAGCAGCTGAGAGTGAGGTGTGCAGACAAAGCATACGCAAATGCACATTTACAAACAAAATGGCCAAAATGCATTAGAGACATGTCCAGAGTGGATTCTGCTTAGGTGTCGTTGCTTCCCCAGATGTCTTTTATCCCTGTCATGTCTTCCGCTCATCTGTTTTGAGCTCTCTCTCCTTACCATCTCTCTTGCGGTATCTAAATCTGTCCTCCCCACTCCCGCTCCCTTTTCACTCCCTGATCGGTCTGAAATATTGTTCTTCCTCCCTGTCTCCAAGCACCCACCCTCTCTTTCACGCTGGTGTCTGTAAGCAGATTATCAGTCTAAATTCCTCCTTGACAGGTGTAAACCTGACGCTGGTTTTAATAGACTCCATTTGCAACAGTCGTGGTCTCTTGATTCACGAGCAACACACGGGCACTTAGACATGTATAGTTAAACACAAATCATATAGACAGAATTATTATGAAAGGCAGACACACAAAAAAATAGGTACACTGACACACTCACACACACACAATCTGCCAAACTGTTACTACTGACTCATAAACCGGCAGGCTGAACTCAGTATAATATATAATCAGTGTATTATATATCATATTTGCACAGTTAATCCAAAAAACAATAGTGGTGATATGGTCTTGCCAACTGCTGTTTCTAAGGTCAAGAAATAACTTGTGTTGGTTTACATTCAATTTTTAAACCAACGTTGAAGAGAAGTTCTTAAAGCACACAGAGGAATGGAAATTTGAATCAACTGAATGTTTCCTGCCAAAGTGCCCAGTATGGGAGACAGACAAAGTAAACAAGCAGTTGTGCAGAAATCCTTAAGGACAAAGAGATTGTATTTAGAAATGTTCTCTTTGTTTTCGGCATTGCTGTCTTGGCTAAATTGATGCCAAATAAGCAATAAATCAACCACCACCACTGTGGTGTAAGGAATAAGTGGACCTGAAAAATAAGATAATCAAGTGAAGTGAATTTGAATTTTTGGGGGCAACACTACTTATTACATACCTTAGGGCTTAAGGATATGAGGAAATGTCTATTTGCGATTATTCTGACCAGTATTGTTATTTAAATTTTGATAATTTTCTATAAATTACACTTCAGGACTGTATTCTATTTAAGGTTTGTGCCAAGTACAATCACAAATTGATTATTTTTTGAATACATGAATAGAATCAGATCCATTTATGCAGTTGCTTGTTGTTGAGGGCCTTCCATGGGTCAAACCAGTCAGTCAAAGTATAGGCAACATCTAAGTAAACTTTTTCTGAAGAAGAAATTTTATTTTATTGAAATATTATTATTGCATTATTGGCATGCTTGTCAAGACTTTAATGTTTAAATATAATCACGGCATTCAAAAGTGCCGTCGACAACTTCAGAGCTACCTGCTAGCTACATGAGGCATTCATCCAGATCATTTATGTAGAAAAACAGTTGGTCTTTATTGAACAGCAAAATATACCTCTTTTCTCCTTATTGTTTTGAGACATATAAAGTAAACAGAGTGCTTCATCAACAAAGCCATCTTTGTGTTAGTATAAACAGTAGAGACTGCACATGTAGAGCATATTAACAAACAGCCTCCAGTTGTTTGGACACCTCAAAAATAATATTAATTATCTCCAACTAAACAAGTTTCTCTTCCACAAGTGATATTATAGCTATCTTTGAAAGGGTGCACCTTTCACAAGTCACAGTATCAGTATAACAATAATTAACCGTTTAGCCATAAATACAACAAAACAATTATCTGACCAAGATATCATTGACTACCATGGGCTACACTGTAGCAATAATGTTAGGGTGTCAGTAATGTAAACAACAACTAAAGAAAACCAAATATTATATATAATGTGTGAACACAGACGGTAATCACTATATTAATCCCTAATGTCTGCAGGCTTAGAAATGGTCATTATATGTAACAATTATAAACAATGTTGAAAGGGAGAGTAATTGATTCTGCAGAAGGATTGTTGATAAAATAAACCCCAGTGCTCCCTCAGAAGCTCCGCCCCCAAAATTTCAAATCGCTGAGGTTTCTGCAGCATTGAAACACCTTTGCTCTTGCCTGGTCAAATAACTTTCTTCTCTTTTTATACTCATTAGACCTTTC